AAGAATAAGGCCTTAGAAGCAGCTAGAAGATCATTAGCCACGTAAGTAGTATTTAAATAATGTAAAAAAATATTTTAGTTTGTAGCCATAAACCACTAAATATTTTTTTCTGAATCTTTAAAATCTTATTAAATTTTATTCAAAGATTTAATAGCCTTATCGCGATGTAATATTCAGTAAAAAAAAATAACGGACTTTTTGAGTTACACTTTTTTAATATGGAGAGCAATTAAAATAAATTAATTTAAACAAATAAATATATATGTCTCTCTCGGTACTTGTAATATAAGATATTATGTAACTGGAATAACCAAGAGAAATTTTCAATTTTCAATTTTTTTTTTACATGCAGAATCATCATCTTTTCTGTTATGATGCAAGTTATGAAACATGTTGTGTATGACGTATTTTTGCATAAAAAATTATAAAAATATCTGTTCTTTTCAGTCCATCACCAAGATCGACTATAGATCGTTTGAGCACAATGTCTCCTGCAGCGAGAAGATTAGCGACACAAAAACTCCGGATATCAAGTACACCATCGCCCGGGCGAATATTATCGTCGAGGACCCCGTCTATAGGCATCAGGACACCTAACACACCACGTGCGATCACGTCAACTAAAAACGCTATCTCTCAAAAATCGGGAACAAATACTATGCGAATACAAGGACCTGTACTTACTGATAATTTACTCAATCTACCTCTGCAACGGCAACGAGCGTCGGACTTTTTTAACAAATGAGGACTTTTAAGTTGAAAGATCGTGTAAAAAAATCGTGTATAATAATTTTTATTTAGAATTTGAACAATGTATAAATATCAAGTTTGTCTGTTTATACTAATATTAAGGAGATAATTCATATATGATATAATATATGATCAACTATAACATTTTCAATACAATATGTACAAAGCTTTCAAATTTGTATTTTATTGAATATTGTCTACAATTATATTTTATTTCATATTTCAATTTACAGTTTCCTAATAGATGTATTTTTGTATAAATAACTGTTATATACTTTTTTATTTCCTTATATATA